CGTTTTTCTTTGTAGTTTAAGTTATGCAACAGTTTTAAAGTATGCAAATGTTTATTGAGAGGACGATCATTATGTACACTTTTCTTGATATTGCCTACCAACAAAGATCTCGCTTCTATCTCGTTCCTTTTTGTCAATATTTTCTGTTCCATTATCACTTGGAATACGAAGTGATGACAAACCTTTGTTAAAACTTGGTAAGTATTCAGTCGATGGATTAACCTAAACAAAACATGTTTGCTGCACGATATGGCCGTGATACCAAAGGTTTAAAGATGGAAACTTACTATCTAAAGTGTTCCGAAATATATACATACAAATGTAATAGCGAAACGGGAAAGGTACCAAAAAACCTTAATGTCGTAATAAATTTACAATTTTTAACTTAAACAGATAATTTATTCTTAAAATTTCATCTCAACTATGCCAGATGAAATTTACGCTGCATGGTTACAGTCAACCTCGGGGAATGATAGTCAAACCACCTTGTGATGTAAAATGTTCCCAATAATTTCTGTTCCCAGCAATGTGTGTTTTCATCTTGTTTCTAACATCTCTATGGGCCGAAATACATTAACATCTCATTTCATGTAACTTGTGCCCAATCCTTTTGCATTTTTTGGCAATAAAATATGTTTAAACTAAACATCTCATCAACTAAATCATTGCATTTCAGCTTGCTTTTGCTGTACCGTTTAGAGACAACGATTCCAGACACTGTCATTAATTCAATTTAGATGGATTCTGTTCTTTTCATTAAAAAACACTTTATTTTCGCTACATTATTGACTGCTTCTCTGAGGTACCTAAACGTAATAGTCTGCTATATCGAGGTGGAGCTCCGGATCACATTGGTAAAGTTTGATGCCGCACAGTCATCCCTCTTTAACACTTTTGGGAAATTATCCATCACTTTCCTTCACATCTTGCGTATGTCGCGTTTTGGGCTTATTTTTAAAATTCTTACAAGCTAACAATTGCAACACCTTTTACTTCTGTCTTGAGACTGCTCTGGCTCGAGGAACACCGCAGACTGGAAACGTATTACGTTTAATTGGGTCAATGTCTATAACTTGTCTGTCTTGTTAAAAAAAGCACCTGTCTAACTTTGTTATCCCCTATGAAGGTCGACTATGTACATTTACAATGTAGTTGTCATTCGAAAAATCCAAACCGTTATTATCCGGGATATCTCTTGTTCCGATACAAACCAACGAAGACCGTTGGGCCGTGATTTTATATAGTTCAGCGATCCCGCCTTTGCCGTTCACGTACAATCTATTCCGTTTTTCTGCTTCATTTTTGGGAATGGCATCGAAGATAGGTTCTTACTAAGTGCCCATTAATCCCATTGGAGTTTAGGGTATCAACGCTGTTATTCTACATCTGTTGTCTCATTTGACATTCCTTTCTTAGTCCTAGCCGTGGATCGTGTCGTTCGGTTATGATTTTACCGTTCGGCGCTATGTTCTTACCTTCAGATGCCAAGTTTAACTACGATTAATGGAATTACCTTCGTTTTAGCCACATGGCCAATTACCTCCAACGTCCACTGGCCTGAAGATATTAATTGGATGTATGCTTTTTTCTAATTACGTCTAGGTTATTTTCAGACATTTACCAACATCCTTATCCATGCTCATATTTACGCTCTTTGTTGACACTAGTTTTCAATGCATAGCCGCGTTTCTAGAAGCTGCATATTATCTTTCAATGTTATGTAGCCTGTCGATAAGATAATGTTTTACTATCACTTAACATTGGACAGTTTCTGCGACAGATCTAAACGTGGTCACCACGGAGACAGCGATTCGGCTGGGCAGCACTATACACACTCTTCAGGTTATAAAGAAGCTTTTAACCCTGCTTTTGTCACATTTTGGTTAACATCTAGTGGTCGATTATATGAACAGTCAGGGTTCGATTCCCCGGTCCGACGTGTAAAGTTATAGATGCCGATATCGATTTTCCTGTGGGGTGGTCATGATACATAATAGAAAAATAAAAATATTCTTTAAGTCAAGAAATGTTTAAACTCACATCTATTTACCTCGTCGATAGCTCATACCTCCCTAAACATACCTGAAGAGTGGTATTTTCACACTTAACATTACCTCCATTTTTATTTGCAAGAAAGACGACAGGGATTCTAGGTTGTAGGATAAGTGTGGACTTTACATTTCTTGATGGTAACATCCCTACTTATTTCACCTATGTTATTTACATGTCGTTGTGGATTTGGTATTGTAATGGCTTACTCTCAATATCACAATTTCCACGGCTGGCGGAGACACAAACATGTTTCGACCGATGCAGGTTAATAAAGGATATGGACAAATGTTATCGTCACTATCTTGATCTTTTTGGAATACTTGTGTGGGTGTGTGATATGAAGGTCGATATTTTTGTTTTTGCTCATGAATTTGCTTTTTAGTTGCGTTGTCATTCTCGTTGTTTGTTGACATTACTTTATTTTAAATAAATAACAATGTGGATATCTCCGATGAAGCAGAAGACGCTTACCCTTCCGTGGTTTTATCTCCTTATAATTAGTTTCCTTGTTTTCAGGCAACCTTAGTTCATTTTGCAGGCAATGGTTAAGTTGTTAGATGCTTTTTTCTGCCGTGAAAAAATACATACATGTTCTTGTCCTGCAGGACATCAAGTTTGGTTTGGATATTAAGATAGTTAACTTAAGACTTGAAGGTGGGGTTAACTTTGGATTTCCGGTTGCTGATTGTTGGTTTTTTTCTTTTTGAATCATGAACCTTGATAGATTTAACTCAATCTGAAAGTGAATATAGTTCAGTATGCTTTTGCTTTTCTCATTGGTCTGACGTATACTTCTACATAATCCATCGGTATCTTGAAACTCACAATCCGATTGATAGTAGAAGTATTTCAATAAATTGGATCCTTCTAAAAAGGCCCTCATATCTCCCATTATAAACGTATCCAGCAGGTCCGTAGCTGTATGGTGGTGATGCAGGGCTAGAACTTGCTGGATTGTGAGTTATTTTAAGGCCATTTCATTTCCATTTGAGTGGTTGGGTGGCGCAGTACAGGTAATTGGTCCCAGTTCGACCGCTTGGTTTTTCTCTGGGTTCTCAGATATCCTCCATCGGGGTTTTGATCATGTACTACACTTAATTATTAAATGTCAATCCTTTTGGGTAACTCTGAGAATAGATTACGGCATGTTCAATAAGATTCATCAGTTTAGAAATATGTGATATCAAAGTTTTACTTTCTACACAAACAATGTACGCATTAAACGTGTCGAAACGTTTCAAGACCGAGTGGCCCCCTTGTCAAGCTATGACTGAGTGTATATTGGTGTACACGTAATCAGCACTCGGTCACAGCTTGACAAGGGACCAGTCCGTCTTGAAACGTTGCGACATGTTTAACACGTACATTGTGTATAAAGTAAAACTTTGACATTTGATTCTATAATACACAAGCTCATGTATGTAAGTACAATATTTTATTGAATAAAAATGTTCCTTGTTCATTAATGGCATATATCTATATAGTACACATATGGGGCAAAGAAGTAATTCCAACAGTGGGGACAAGTTTGACCCATATATAATACACATATATATACATATATATATACACACATATATTTATATACATAATCACTTAACAGATTATAATTTACCGTATAACATACACTAAAGCATATATATAGTACAGACACATTCAAACCATCGACAAAAAATTACCAGTCAAATGTTTCACTAATGTTATTCAAGGCAACCACCCAAAGTCATGCGACATTCTCTGAATTTAATGCATATATAATGCATAAGCTTACTGGTAATGGAAACACAAATCACTGACTGCCCCAGGAAGTCGGTTACAATAGATGACAGCTAAATTTGGTCATTTACAGGTGACTCTTTATTTCGACACAATTAGCTGACTCCTTATTTAGACACATCACTAATCAATTAACGAAACACTGATGGTGTCCGCTGACATGATTTCAGGATAAGCGCCAAGTGACGCATGACTACTCTCTTCATTATCCCCATCTTTGTTTTCCATATTTTGTTGACTCCTATGCTTAATCGTTTGTTGCACCTTACCGCCATTACTATTATGCGTATTTACCTGTCTAACCAATGCAGACACGTAACTATAAACACCAATGAGAAAAGTACACGTGACTACATAATACGCGCTATAAAATTGAATCAATTCATAGCACGGATTTGATGAAAGTGAAACATTTGATTGGATACAAGCATATCAAAGAGCAACAAAAATAAGACGTTTGAATAAATCGAGATATGGATGACATTTTTCAGTGGAGAAACCTGGATAGGATACACACATATGTTTAAGGCGAAGCTGTATTGTAATACAGTACACCTTATGACAGAATTGCTACTGTATATTTGAAGGGTCGATAATCAATGTTAAAATTATGGATATATCTATAATGGTTAAATTAGGACACCTTGTTTACAAGGTATGATAATGTATGCGTAAAGATGATGATGTAACGTCATATATACTGGTGTACAAATAAACAACTGGTGTACAAATAAACAGTGCAACGTTTATAAACTAATGTACAAATAAAAAGTACAACTTCATATATACTGGTGTACAAATGAAGAGTACAACTTCATATATACTGGTGTACAAATGAAGAGCACAACTTCATATATACTGGTGTACAAATAAACAGTGCAACGTTTATAAACTATGAACAAATAAAAAGTACAACTTCATATATACTGGTGTTCAAATGAAGAGTACAACTTCATATATACTGGTGTACAAATGAAGAGTACAACTTCATATATACTGGTGTACAAATTAAGAGTACAACTTAATATATACTGGTGTACAGATATACAGTACAACGTTTATATACTGGTGTACACATTATCAGTACACTTTCATATATACTCGTGTACACATAATGAGTACAACTTCATATATATTTGTACGCAAATATGAACGCAGTTGTATCATGTACAAATAAATGATACAACTGCGTTCATATTTGCGTACAAATAAACCGTATACATATAAGTACATGTACACTCGTGTACAGAAAAAAGTACAATATATTAGTATACAGAGAAAATAGTAGAAGTTAAGGTACAGATAAACAGTACACATTTAGTAGGTACACTAATGTACAGAAATAGTTCAAATATAGGCACACTCATGTACAGAAAGAGAACATATTTAGGTACACTCATGTACAGAAAGGGAACATATTTAGGTACACTCATGTACAAAAAGAGTACATATCTAGGTACACTCATGTACAAAAAGAGTACATATTTAGGTACACTCATGTTGTACAAGGTTTACTAATGCACAACATAAAGTTTACTAATTGGTGGTATAACTTCAGATGTACGAACGGCCGTTACATACAACTTAAGGTATGTTAATGAATGTTATATATAGGGTACACAAATGAAAGTTACACGTTTAAGTGTACTGATGGATGTTACAGCTTAAAGTATGGTAATGTATACATTTAGGTCCACTAACTGTTGTTACATATTCATGTGTGCTGATGAATGTTGCCACTGTAGGTATACCAAGGGATGTTACAGATGTAATGTATACTCACGTACAGATAAAGAGGACATCATGCAACATCAGTTATACTACCTCACATATAACTTTGCCTACCTATATTAATGGCATACAAGTCTTTCGTTTGGACCAATATCGCTAATTTCCAACTGAACTAGTGCACTTTGCCTTGTTACATTCTGCCAACTGTCTTTATAGAAAAAATACATCCCTAGCTCCTCCATATATACAAGGGAAGAGCAGATGTATACAGAGGCAAGGGAGACATATGAAATAAAACATAAAAAAGGACAACGGAGATCAATTACTTTTACAAGACGTGCCTAATATCTCCAAACTTGCATCTGCGTTATTGCAAAGCCAATCGATCCTTCCAAGGTCCAGCTAGCCGCCTACCGTATGGAATGGCCACGCTAAACATAGGAATTCAGATAGGAAACTAAGATATATTGAGCTTGAATCGTTCGGTTAGTCATTGCGTCATTAATGATGAGATCTTAATGGAAATAGCTCTCCGGCATTATAACATGCCAGTCTCTTTTGTAACCCGAGTGAATTCTAAGAAATGACATATTATCCTAAGTTTATCTACATGCTTAGGTCATGTGGGACCTGATTTTTCTTTTACTAACTGAAGAGAAGCATACCGGCGTCGAATTAAGATGGAACCGGTTCATCCAACACCACCCAAATCATAGATAAGCTTGGTTTGAAGCCAGTATCAATCCTTACACCTAGTTATAGAGAAATCTGCTTGACCTAGGTATAACTTAAGATAATGTAATTTCTAGGTTTATAGAAAAATACTTTAGGTAATGTCATTTCTAGGTTTATAGAGGCACACAAAAATTCAAATAATGTCTTTTCTAGGTATATTGAATAACTAAAGATAATGTCATTTCTTGGTATGCATTTGAATCGCAAAAGAGATTGGCGAGTTATTATGCAAGTGAACTACTTTTATAAAGACATTGGTCTTAATTTTTTATTACATACTAAATATAACGTTTCTTTATTTTTATAACTAAAGCATGCGTTCACTATTTCCAAATTACATATCCGAGCTCCGATATTTAATCTTTAAAGAGGATTAACCAGGGGTTGGAATATGGGATGACCAAACTATCTATTAGGGGGCTTGTTAAACCACAATTATACCATACACATGTAGTATGGACATTCCCTTCTGACTTACTAATGAAAAAATACAATTTAAACGAAAGTTTCTATGGACCAAAAAAATAGGTGCTCAAACATTCAGGAACCCGTCTTCGTTAGTCATAAAGTCGATCGCGATTATTTGAAGTCTCGATGTAAACGGTTACTTAACCAACTAATACTACTATACCGATATTGCCTGGCACGCATGTACAGTAGGCCAGCTCAAGTAATCCGGTTACGCAAAAGTCAATTTCCTAAATTTGAGAAAAACATCGCAAAATCTAGAGCAGCGAAGATAACAACAACCATATCACAGGTAATCTGTTTTGTGTGAGGGTGTAACTCTATACGTTGGTAACAGTACTAACCTGAACATATTGTATGTTGAGACATTATGTACGAGGCTGATAATTAGGGTACTTGTAGAATTGGAAATATTTAGCTTTTGTAAACAATATTGTACCAGTATTATATTTCCGCTGATGAAAGTTGCCTCTCCTTCCCTGTTGTTTACTGCATGTTTCATAACAATACGTGCCAGCTTCATTCGAGTGCAAAGATATACAGAATACACAGAACAGTACTTCAGACATGAATTGTTTTACGTATAATGACCACATTGTTTCAATCATGCGGGCCAACACCTCGAACGATGAGATGATAGTAGATCTTACAGGATGAAGGCTATTACGGACGGACAGACAGACAGACAAGCGAGGAGACTGCTACTGATATCTGGTGATGAAAAAGTACGAAAATGCCATTTCTCAATTACTAAGCGTTGTTCTGAGTCTGCATTACACAATGCCAGGGGGGACTATCTTCCTGATGCGGAGCAGTTTCCTACCAGCCTGTACGTTAATATATTTCTTATCTGTACATTGCGCGGACATGTATTCAATTTGTCCATATATGTCTGGTTCACAGAAATAATTGGTGTTTGGCACCGCGACGAGGTCTCGCAAGCCGCGAAAACATGTCTCGTACGTAAAATAGTAACCGTGTTTACCACGATTCTGCAGACATGTGTTAATGGTCTATGTAGTCGTCCAGAGTTCTCGGGATAAAATTATGCCACTATTAAGTTACACGTATAAAAACTATTCAACATTTTATATATATATATATATATAAAGACGTCCCAGGAATGGTCCAGAGTTTTTGACTGAGATCAAGGAATCACGCACTTTGCTTAACACAAATATCATCTCCATAGACATACATATATCATTGTGCGATGCTGACGTTATTTCTGCTGCTGACAATGCGTCACTGGTAATCGTCTTACGACACACTGTCAATGCTGCTGTCATTCGCGTTCTAATTTATTTATATATAAGATATAAATATACAAACGTCTACAGCATCCGAAATAACAATGGTGTGACATCCAATAAGCCACGTGTCGCTCATATATGTAATTGATTGCCCGTGACGTTCCTGATCCAGTCAAGGTAAAGAGGCACGTCAGTGTACACCCCTGGGATATTGGGAACAGCACAACCAACTCCCCAGGACACCACCCCCGCCACGTACCAGGCCGTCCGCTTGGAATCCGCCGGACACAACAGAGGACCACCACTGTCGCCCTACAGTACATCATAGAAAAAATTATCAATGTCTATATCATAGTTTTATCTTTTGGTTCTCTATTTTCATATTGAGAAATGAACTTTATCTATTGACATTTATTATTAGCAATTAAATAAGAACAATTAAATAACTGAACTGAACTACAAGTATATTTGGGACATTTTTTAGAAACTATTGCTCAACTGAAACAAACAATTGCAATCTGTATAACAACCGTATTATATGTAATTTGTGTATTGGTCTGATAAAAGTACTGTTTAGTTGTCAAAGTTACTTACAGAGCATGCGTCATGTCCTACCCCACCCCCGGCACACAGCATGTTCGGCGTGAGTTTGTAGGGGGTGTAAATGTCTGAGTTGGCAATAGCTTGGCGACAGCTTTCCCAATTGACCACGTCCAGGTTCACCTCCTGTATAGCTCTCTGGTACTCCATAGCTGGAATAAGAAATTAGTTTCACGTTATATCCCGAACATTTTTTCTTGATATTTACAATGCATATAATGCCATACTGTTATATAAATAATCGGTAATAGATCGTATGAAACGCATACTGAAAACGGTATAAGAATACATTTTTGCATATGAAAAATATTCAATTAACAGTCATGACTTTCTCTAGTATAGAACGGGATATTCGTGCACCAGGAATGTTTTCAGAGACTGTAAGTTATTGTCTCATATCATTTGTGCTAAAAGTATTTACTTTAACGCCAATGGAAGTCGCGATTTCACAAGTTTGTGAAGAATTCTTTCACCAAATCATGAATAGTAATACGATAATTAGTGTAAAGTACTAATATCAGCAATAGTACGCATCTTACCCGATTCATTTGCCTTTCCCCAGCCCGTGGCGTAACACCTTGTTCCCACAGGGGTCCTGTGTTCCCACTTTGGTAGACATATTGGTCTGACGTAGTCGTTAAAGAAGACTGGAGTAGCCAGTTCTATGAGGGCAATATCGTTGTCGACTGTCTGTGGATCATATCCCGCATGTACGTGCAGTGATTTTGGTTTCCGCACCTGTCGGAACTCTGAGTACGTTTCACGTCTTGTGGCACCAATCTTCAATGTGATGCCGCCAGGAGAGGTTGTCCTTATGACAAACAATGTAAAACATACATCATACACACAAAATAATTTCCGATATTCTGTAAACAATTAGTTCACATACACATTTGTTACGTAAGGTTAGAACTCTAAATGGATATTTATTTCGAAGTATTCATTATAAGAGCGTTTTATATAATGAAAAGTATACGCAAAGTTTCAATTCAAATAAATGTCCGTAATGTTTTATTATTGGTGCCTGTAAGAGGATTTTAAAGAAAACCATACTGAGCAAATATATCAGTAAATGTGTTATAGCCACATTTCTATTTTATCGGTGTCGTGACCAGGATAAACACAGTGTTACGTGTCAAGTTACTCACCCTCCGAGACAATGACCAGCAGTTAGAACCCAGGTCTCACTAATTAGCGTTCCACCACAGAAAAACCGTTCTGCTGGTCCACCATGCAGGGAGACCATAAAGGGCCACGTGCCTGGCTCCACCTCTTTTCCCGCCACAATGCGTGTAGCAGATTTATAGTTGGCAGGTCGGGTACCACACACTATGACAAAGTGCCAAATTAGATAACATTACCTTGCGATTATTTGTTTAAACTTATAATATTTACTCTAGATATGCCATACCGATATTAATTTTTTTCAATTTAAACAACACATATAATTTCTAGACGCAAAAAACTGAAAAATGGAAAACAAATCTTGATTTTCTTAGAAAAAAAGTACACACTAGGACTTTCTACGGATTATTAACGTTAGTGTTTCGGACTGTGAATGCAATACATGAACAAGTCCCTGCTTGATTATCAGACGTACCTGGACGACCACACCTAACATTCACGACCTGGTTACTTGGGCAAGTAGAACTGAAAATAGGAACACAATCTGTTAGCGATGACATGAACGTTCTCATCAATATACCATTACCGATAAACTTTTAACGGTAACGTAAACATATTTTTAGTAGCAAATATTGAGAATGACGAGTTGACTTAATACAATTACATCCTTAATATTATTTTATTTATTATTAATTAAGGTTTGTTCATAGCATTTCTTTGTGCCCTATAGAATGACATTACGTTAATAATGGTAGATTGTTCAATTATCATATACGCTCAGTGAGGAAGCAAACGTTACCTTTTTGTAAGGAAGCTCTGAAGAACATTAGGATCACTGGAGTTATGTGGAGAATTGTGGAGGGTAGCTTTTGCTCTTCCTGGCGTCTGCGCTTTATTAATATAGCTTACAGCATACCTTCAAACAAAATGGAAATAAAGTGTTAATATGTACATATATGCCAACGAAGCGATACAGATACCACCATGTTTTATTAAATTGTAAGGAAAGCGCGATTATAATGTTCATGTAACTTGTGCCCAATCCTTTTGCTGAATTTATGACAATAACATATGCTTAAACTAACTAAAACCACTATTGGGACTCCGACACACACGTACCTCCACCTTAATCTTCTTCAACACATTTTCATGTCAGAGTCAATTTTACTAGAAATACTTGATAAACTTTTTCAAGGTAACTTAGAAGTTGCTATATGCACATTAACATAGCATTGGAATATACACTCTGTAAGTACACTAGCTTCCATATGTAAACTAAGATGGTAACATCAGATAGTTCAAAATGGCGAGTAGGCCTGGCACTAAGAGTGACTTTTACATAAATACATATGTAACCAGTGGGTAATAGAAGTACACGTATGCGGAGATTTTATGCTGAAAATATTGACAAGAGCCCATTCTGTTATCTTCTACTCCCTTGTATTTCATTAACTATATGACTTTTTGAACTTCGTTAGTTTACTTCATTCATTACATTCCATCCTATTAATTAGCGTGCCTAACATGATTTTAATCCGAGGCTCCGGTTAAAGGTAGGGTCAACGCCTATGGAGATTAAACATAAACATCGGCCCCCGCTTGGAATTCCAAAAGAAGATGAATCCAGAAATGTATGGGTATATAAAGCCTAAATCAGGAACAGTTAGTTTCAGAATTTATTTTATGATAAAAGGGGCCTCATTGACTTACACCTGTGTGGGTGTTGAAGGTGCGGTATTACAATTCCTCCTAGAGCATTTAAATGACACAATTACAATAAAATTAAATCATCATTGTGTGCAACATATTCCAACTGTTATTTTGATACCTAATATTACACTATTTTAAGAAGGAATTATTCTTTTTATATATATAAAGGATATAAGAGGATATAAGCAGAAACATATGTGAGATTGCATTACTTTAATTCACATAGTTCTAAAACGAGTATATTTTTCATACTTGCTTTAAAGTTGGCTACATATTATATCTTTCAACATCAGGAATTTCCAAAAAATTGACAACCAGTGAATTTGTCATTTAACACTTTTGATTAAAAAAAATTTCTAGACATAGCTTTCTTTCCACTTTTCCTTTAACTTGTGTACCTCATGACCTAAGGTCCTTAGGTCTTGATATTTGGCAAGTAGATGGTTCACGTTGATGACCTTGACCTTCGTTCAAGGTCATCAAATAAAATGTGCTGAAACAAAACTTTTGTATGGGCAGCAGACAAGGATATCTTTCCTTGCTTTATTTGTTTAGAGTTAACGATACAAAATAATATTCCTTCATAGTTTGTTTAATGAATGGGCAAGAAGCAAAATAAAATAATAAGTAGAACTGTAAGCCAAAGACTAAATAATACCTCCACTCCTATATAAACTAACCTGTAAGCTAAAGGTTCACTAAGGCAAAGCATTGCAAAGCAATCCATAGTCTCCCACCAGTAATTATTTAAGTACATAGGTCACTGACATACTTTCTGTACTCCCTCCATATGCCAAAACATACTTGAATACCAAATCGTGTTAGCCCAGATGAACCAGATTTGCTGAAATCGTCCTAGTAGTTAAGGAACAGTTGTCATGAGTCATTACTGCTGCACATAACTTTGAAACATGCGTAATATAATAAAGTGCCTTGGTATGATACAAAAACAGAACATGTATCGGTATTTACCAACAGAAACATTGATAATTAAATCTCCATGGTTATGTGAAATTGGGCATTGATCATGTTTGGCATGCTAAAAGAGTACTTTACCGGTTTTGATATTACATAAAAATTATTCTGTAGACAGAAAATATATATGGAAAGTGTTAAAAGAAGTTTTAAATATAGACTACCATTGTAATTATATTTAGACAAGTTGACAATGTTGGTTATACTTTAAATTTTGTGAACATTTTGCATGTTTTTCTAATTAAAAGTATCACTACGCTTTCTTCATGTATTCCAATTTGACATATTTAGAATCAAAATAACAGTAACTTTATACACTATACACTATCATAATTCATTTTCAAAATAACATACTTATATAACTCGCCAAGTTTTACTGCACATTATAAAATATTATGCACTATTCGATTTGCTAATCAAATTCAGATACTGATCTCGTAAAATGTTCAAAAAAACCATGCAGTTGTTAACCAATCACATATTAAGAAATCAAACACAGGTATTATTTAGTTTCCAGATAACTACCACCTGAAGTTGTGCATCCAGGTATTGTTTTTTTTTATTCTGACCCTTTTTTTACGGGGTAATGGCCCTTGGTTGAAAAACACTTGTCCAGAAAACTTCTCCAAAACTATGGGGTCAATTTCAACGGAAAATTACAGATATGGTAACTGCCCCTGACATTATGCATCCATGTTTCAATTCCGAACCTTTAGAAAGGAGTTATGACCCTTTGCTGAAAAAACTTTTGTCTGCCTCATAAACTTTTGGGCCGATTTCAATTAAAGTTGACAGATATGGCAATTACCCCCTGATGTCGTGCATCAGGGTAGGTTTTGTTTTTATTTCGACCCTTTTTAAGGAGTTATGCATTTTGTTAAAAATCTTTGTCTTGACAGCTGTTCCTTAACTACTAGGATGATTTCAGCAAAAGTGATTCATCTGGGTTATCAACATTTGGTATGCAAGTATGTTATGGCATGGGGACTAAGTACATGTAGTATGCCATTTGCCTATATACTTAAATAATTACTGGTGGGAGACTATGGTTTGCTTTGCAATGCTTTGGCTTACAGTTCGGGTTTATATAGGAGCGGGGAATTGCCTTTGGCTTACAGTTCTGGTTTATATAGGAGTGGTATTAGTTAGTCTTTGGCTTACAGTTGTATTTATTTTATTCTGCCTATTACCCATTCATGAAACAAAATATGTAGGAATATTATTTTATATCGTTAACTCTAAACAAATAAATCAAGGAAATATCTCCTTGGCTGACTCCCGTTACAACACTCTATTTTAGCACATTTGATTTTTGTGACCTTGAACCAAGGTCAAGGTCATCAACGTTTACAAAACTTAAATCCATTCACATGACCAATCTACTGGCAAAATACCAAGACTTAAGGACCTTTCGTTATGAAGAAACACAAGTTAAAGGAAAAGTGGAAAGATAGCTATATTTTTTCCTTTTTTTAATCAAAAGTGTTCTATGACAAATCTACCGGTTGTCATTTTTTTTGAAATTCCTGATATTCCAGATATTATTGGTAACCAACTTTTAAGCAATTATGAAAAATAGACTCGCTTTAGAACTATGTGAATTAACATGTCAAAAATAGAAATTTTCTCATTAATAATGAAATTTCACATACGTTTCTGCTTAAATCTTCAATAAAAAGAACAATTATTTCTTTAAATAGTGTAATATTTGGTATCAAAATAACAGTTGGAATATGTTGCACACAATGATGATATAATTGTATTGTAACTGTGTCATTTAAATGCTCTAGGAGGAATTGTAATACCGCACCTTAAACACCCATACTGGTGTAAGTCAATGAGGTCCCATTTATCATAAAATAAATTCTGAAACTAACTGTTCCTGATTAAAGCCTCCTATACCCATACCTTTTCAGATTTATCTTGTTGTGAAATTCCAAGCGGGGATCGACGCTAATGTTAAATCTCCATAGGCGTTGACCCTACCTTTAAGGAGGTTTTCTTAGCTAAGGAGCTCCCTAGTTTCGTTAAGGAACTTTCATGAAACGCATTTTTCAGGAAATCTTAGCTAAGGAATTCCTTACTCAACTGTACGTTGCCAAATGTCAAGGCGTCTTTCCTTTAGTTTGTGCATTTTCTCGGTTCTTCGTATCGGCGTTTTGCTCGATATTGTCCATGTGTTCTGACTTCAATGGTGTATTGTTCGTCTTCTTAATTTACGCAGTACTAGTGGGCGATATCAAGTTGTAGCCGCGATGTTGACAGCATACATGCCTGAATGCAATACGCTATTCTAGTGCTGTTGGAACTACCTGACGGAGTGTGGTACGTTAAAAGTAGCAATGCTGCTGGCCCTAGTCAACGAAGTGCGGTACGTAAGTATAAGCAATGCTGGGGGTGTGACTTACTGGTAACAGTTGCTGGCACCAGCTGGCTGAAGCCGTCATGTTTACCGAGGACGACACGTAACGATAGAGAACGATACTTACCAGTAATGATTACTGATAGCCCGGGAAATTGATATGTGTTCGTGCAGATGATCAGAAAATGGATTAAAAATTCTTGATCACAATATAGCAATAGTCTACAGATTCAGGTGATTGAGGTCTTGTGTTGTGACCAATAGTTAAAAACCCTCTCTGATTACTGGTAGCCAAGCTGTCGACACACTATCTAGTCAAGGAAGATATTTACGGAGCATGATAACCGTTCTGTAAACAGACTAGCAGAGTGAGGGAGATACTCACTCCTAAATATTTTAGCTGAATTTTGGCGATTTCCTTTCTGGAAGCTTTTAGTTTGACACTTACTGGTAGCCGAGCTGTTTGCAGACAAGTTCACTGAATGTGATGTTCCATCCGTCCGCACACACTTCCTCCCAGATCCCCGACACGGCGTTATGGACATGAACAACACCGCTGGATGTTCCCTCGCCAAGTTTTACTGCACATGATAAAATATTATGCACTATTCGATTTGCTGATCAAATTCAGATACTGATCTCGTAAAATGTTAAAAAAAACATGCAGTTGTTAACCAATCACATATAAAGAAATCAAACACAGGTATTATTTAGTTTGTATAAAATATGTGTTTGTTCACGCATAACGTCGCCTGGTCCTTGAGGGGATGTTTTGTATTGTCCTACCATTGCTAGGTGTTCGTGCTTCATAGATAGATCATTATATAATTATTGACTTCAGTTTCAGTCTATCCCTGATTTACGGACCTGGTCTGAACAATATTCATCTCGGCCTCTGAATATTGTTCAGACCAGGTCCGTAAATCAGGGATAGACTGAAACTGAAGTCCACAATTGTTTTATTATATGACATTTTACAATGAGATTAATAATTTTTCAAGTCATAAACACATGGATGGCATGGACCATTTTGGAATCACAGAGTGAATGACTTCAAATACAAAATAACATACACAAAAATTGAATTTCAGATTCCATTCATGTGATATTTAATTTTAAGTACAGCAAAAATATTATTTGCACAACAAACATCATCAATATTCACATAGTTCAGAATTTGATGAGATAATTCATTTGTAGTTGAATTAAGAAGTGTGATTGGTAACAGAATTACAGACTGGCTGGGAAATTACTTAGGGCTATTTTTAGTAGCGGTCTGTAACACTTTTCTATTTATAGGTCGAGGTCTGTAACACTTTTCTATTCATAGAACGAGGACTGTAACAGATGATTTGATTGCAATTGGCTGTTAATCGATGACTGAGAAATTACCAGGTCTATTTTTGGTAGCGGTTTGTAATACTTTTCTATTTACAGGTCGAGGTCTGTAACATATTTACAGACTCGTCACACGACGTCGCTCCTCAATCAGGGCTGGAAATTAGCACCAGTCATATAATAATATTGAATATTCATCATTATTGCTGTTAGATATACAGAGAAATTAAAGCAAGCCGATTTAGAGGACATTGATGTTTCCTCTTGCTCAAATCAGTCTAAACGTTTAGGTTTATAGAAGGATGTCCAGAAAAATATTGTTTCTCACATTTTGACGTCAAGAAGGCGAATTATATATTTAATGATATATGATTGCACCTCTTTTTAGGCGGGATGGGGGTGGGAGAGGGTAATGTCCAAAGTTAGCGCCTACCACAACCCTGCTCCTCAACGTCTTCGAAACAGTCGGTGATACCGTCACACACTGCAGCCTTTTCTATACAGAGGGCAGATACCGGCCGGCACTGGTACTGTTCATCCGAACAGGAGGCTGCAACAAGACGGCGGTCATCGTTACAATTTTAAGCATGTTTTGAACTATCAAATTGCTTGCACACCCTATTGTGCTGTGTAAGGACATGTTTTAATTAGGATTACTGTTTAGGATTTTACATTTGATATTGATATGACAAATTTTTACATAAATATAGTTATTTATAATCTTGGAAGTCGAATTTCTTCCTTCATTTTCCGTTTGTGGCTTTGCACAAAGTTAAGTTGAAAAATGATCTGTTGATCCTGTTAACATGTAACAGTAATAAACAGGCTTAAGAAGACAATTTGACTGACGTGGACTGTTATTTACAGTAACGTACCACAATGCATCTCGTCGGCCTTGTCGGCACAGTCGAGGAAGCCGTCACAGATCCAGGAAGGCGGGATGCACGTGTTGTTGTCACAGCGCATGTCTCCCTTTTTACAATCTGAAAAGCAATAAAGTTATCTTGATTATATCTGTGTGTATTACCCATCTTACCAGGATGCTTTTTTGGATGTCCATGAATCATGACCTCATTTCTTAGTTTTGTTGAAACACGAAACAATATGTTTATGTGACGATCAATGATGTTAGATGTTTTGTTAGGAAAATGTCGATTGGAAATGCTTCTCTAACTTAATGTCATCTTAAAGATGCCCCGGTATTAGTAATAACAATTTTCTGTTGGCTTCATGTATAAACCAAAGGCAAAAATCAATAGCCATGTTAGTGGGACAAGCAAAAGTATTGATAACAGCTTCGACTAAGAAACTATTTAATTCCGAATCGTCCTTATAATAACTATCCGATTTCAAGGGGAGCAGGGATAACACAGTACCCGCGATCCGCCGTTCATTGACAATGCTGTCCCAACTGCGAGTTCCCTGTAGGTAGGGCGTAAGAATTGTAACTGCTGCCCCGTATTGCATGATCGAAAGAGGCGACTAAATTTGGTACCTTATCTCTTCTCTCCTTTCTAAGTAACTTTCTTCTTCCTAATGTCTCCTTTGACAATGCCTCACTTTTGGCAATTTGTTGAGCGTTCCCCTTTGAGGAAGGCTTTGGGTTCTGTCCCCTGGCCGAGACATACCAAAGTCTTTAAAAATGGTAGTTTCTACTCCTGCTTAACGCTCAGCAAATTAGGAGTGGGACGACTGGTTCGCCCGTTGTCAGTATATTGTGACCGGGTGGGGCGTCCTAATGGGTGTCCTCGGCAGTATGTTGCAGTTAGGTAGCACTATAAAGTCGGCATCAGTTCCGCGCTATCACAAGGAGACAAACACGAACATATCGCAGCCTCCCAAAATATACACACATACCCTACACGCATGCATTTTGCACACAGGGGTGGCCGTCCTTAAAAGACCTTAGCTGTTAATAGGACGTTAAACAAAATAAAACCAAACCAAACCAAACCCAACTGCGACGGCAGAATCAGAAATGCTTTTACAATAGGAATAATATTCGAACGAACAATATGAAGTCAATATAATCATTATGTCTAATCTACGTGTTACTACGGTTCCGAGATCGGACACCACTGCTCGTGGTTATATTATACCTAATAAAGTAAGATTTTATTTAATTCATTAACAAAACTGATTTGTCATAAAGTTGTCTGAAGTTGTGTTGGCAAACTCGCCTCACTATATGTTGTCAGTATTTAAAATAGGGGAAAATTGGATATCGAGTAACTGAACAATTGCGTCAATAGATGAAAACCTGTTGAAATCGGTACCGACAATACCTTGTCGATTTCTTGCGTATGAAAACTGATCAAATATTTTGCAGGAAATGTAACCATTATTTCACATCACATGATTTATTCTTAACGAAATCATTATGAAATTTTATTTAAATTTATCAGTTAGGAAGGACAATTAATCTTTTCCTTCTTGATTAAAGTTCAACTCTAAATGTTGAGATTAAAATTGAAATATAATAATATCAGATACTAAGGTAGAGTGTTATAATCTACTAACCTTCTATTTTGGGCGGTTCGTGTGCCTGGCTGTACCCCATACATACAGATGTGTCGTTAACATCCGGGAATGTGGAACAGTTCAAAGAAGACGGCCATGGCGAATGGAAGATCTCCATGAATATGGAACAACGCGACTTAACCCCTGGAAATTTAACATCAAACAGTCAGATAATTTAAAGATGAATATTTAAAACGCAATTAACGTTAGTTCAATGAAACACTCATACAGGATATAAAAATGCAATGACATTTATGAATAACATGTTTAAAACATCCCATTAAATCAAAATAAAAGTCGTGGACAATTTTCAAATTATTAAAGAGATATATCTCTTTACTTTTTTCCTTGCTTGTCTAAAATATCAAGGGGAGATATCTATACTGGTTGTCCAGCTTATTAGGAAGACACATCTGCATTGATAGTTCATTTTATCAAGGTGATAAATCTTGTTGTTTAAACTCGTCCGTCTTGTCAAGGAAATGAGTCTAAACTAGTTGTCTATATATGTAGCGATTTCCTACGTATGTCCTCCGTCAAGGCGATGTCTTGTTAATAATGTACTATAGAAACATTCTTAACCGTAGTTTACTAATCACTGACATTTCATTAACCAACACATGCAATCAGGAGAAAATGTTATTTTTGGTGGGGTATTACATTTCCTTGGTTCGTTATTAACATAATAATGAATATCGTGAAATGTTGTACCTTCACACAAACTTTTACAGGGTGGAATTGTATGTTGACCAACCACGTCACTCCCGGAACACTTAGGAACAAAAGCTGCGCAGGCGAAGTAGGTGGCATGACTGCTGCACATAGTGGCAGACTCTATAGTGCCGAGCAACATGAGCATGTCGGCGGAGGATGTCTCGCCTATATTTCCGGCATAGTTTGGGAACGCCGTCTCCGTGAAGCCGAGATGAACACATCCCTCTAACATTGGATCCGTCACCTTTATACACTTCCCGGCTGCATAACACACAGATACATAGGTAAAAGGAATAAATAATTATACAACGTCAAAAAACACCTATACTTAAAGACGATTCTTAAGGTAAGGAATTCTATAAATAAATGGAGTACAACACGATCCCCACAAAAACTGGAGTATACACGTGCTACGGAAGCGTTCCAGGAAGTATGTAGAACCTTAACGATACACCGTGATCTAATCTATAATTTATCAATGGTGGTTTAATGTTGTAGACATCAAAATATTATATCAATGAAATCAGGCCATACAATCTACAAAGTTACAAAGTGTGTGTGTGGGGGGGGGGGGGGTCGGTTTATCATTTCCCTTAACCTGAAGCTTACAACACTTACTTTTGGTTTTATTTGTAAGAGCAAATGATAACGCCTTCCCCATCAAAGCGACAACCACGACATGGCGGCTCGTCCAAACTCGGTGAGATTTGTTTTATGGGTCCAGTTTCATGGATTAACATGGAATGACCATCGTCACATCATTATTTACGATGGTTTATCTAATCTTACTTGGCAAAAAATACATAAAATTACAGCGCCACACTATCGGTTGATGACTTTTATGGTACTTTACATCACACCACAAGTTGATGTGTTCGTGGCATTGTCTGAGCCATACATAACTGCAACATATTCGGGAAATTTACATCATATATATACCCATCGTAAATTTTACCGGTTGGGGACATATCCATTTTTCAACTGTCATTCAACGATATCATATCGACGGATTGCAACATATATTGCAGACATGTTAAACACAAGAGAACGCCAGGTCTTCTGTTGCGTACTTGTGCTCTTCCACTGTGAAACCATCGACAATGTCGGCACTATGTTTATGACCAAAGAACGCCATTCCGAGACAGCTTTTTTTTTAATACTAGGAGGACTGAAGTAACGTATCTTTCGTCACCTTGGTTGAGTAGGGAGTAAACTGTAGGTCATTTCAATAAAGCAAATGTCAACTGCTGGTGCCATTTACGGCTAGACGTGTAACCTGGCGGATATACTAAAGGACATTCCTTCAAACTGAAGAGTCAGTAGGGAGCAACTACGCTGACATTGTCACTGACAATAGCATGCATGAGATTTAGCACTAGTGCTCACAGCAAACAACACTGTCCCGATCAATAACGGTTTGAAAAGTGCAGGTCCCGGAATAAAGGCGTCGCATGACAATGGTTACCAGGTAAGATTGATGTGAGGGCAGATTGGGGCTGCACTCCTATTTACTGTATCAGCAGAATAATGAGAATTAACGAGGAAGAAAAATGACATTTAATCGGCTTGTGTTTCAACTAATGACATCTATTTACGTCTCTATGTGGAACACTGTTTACATGTAATGGCTTTGGAACATTGCTTATTTGATGTGCTTCGTAACAATGTTTACCTTAACTATATTTACACCAAACCTTAATAGATTATTTGTTGGTGTCGTTACTATACGAGAGGGAATTTGTACAGGACCTAACAGCATGATTCTTACACGACTTAACTGCAGACTATTAAATTAAATAGCAAACATTTTTTTACTAACCCTATACGTAATAATAAAAAAGAAAAAGAAAGAAAATAATAAAAGAATCCAAATCTTTGATTGAAATAAATAAATGTAACACATTATTTTGAAGTGCAAAATGATATGCAGTTTTAAAAGAAGGAAGATAATGCCGTATATAGATATAGTCAGACATACGTGTATACGGGTTTTGTCGACATACGGCCGGGTCGCTGGAGACAGGTAGAGCGCTACATCGGACGGGCCAGGAAAAGTTACTGGGGTAATGACCATCACAGCTCTTTCGGACATCTGTAACACAAACCAAACCTGAACTCATGTAAACCAACTTATTTTAAATATATTATTGATTAATTATTCGTTTCGTCACGAACGAAATCATTCAGAGCAGCAAAAGCTTGGAAACTTAAAAAAGTGTGTCACATGAATTGCTGCTATTGACAGTAGTTCCGATATATGGGATAATTATATTTACCGTGTTCCTGAGGGAAGGAAAGATTTACGAATAGATCAGTCCTAACAGAGGGGAATCTTTTACTTTTTCAGAAGTCTCTCCATTAGGATATTTTACCTTGACATTAGTTCCTCTATAGGGGAAGTTTACCTTCACAGTAGTCCCGACAGGGTGGGATGTTACGACCTCCATGACACTCGGGCGCCCACGCGGAGCACCAAAAATCGCTTGAGTAGTCGTAGCAGGGAAAGGTGAAGAGTTCTCCGTAAGTAGACAGTGCGGTCATAGCCTGGTGTTCGGACACGTGGCCGAGAAGGTTAGGGTACATGGTGTTGTGGTACGTTGTGGCGTTCTGGCAGGTGGGTAAGGTGATCGCAGAACATTGGCCTATATGGTGAAAATCGTCAGTACACAATTCAATTGTAAAAAGACACGCATGGATTTTTAGTTGAAGATGAAACACAAAAGAGAAGATACACTAGATTGGGGAACAATTTATAGTAAATAATACACTGTCCCGGGGACCAATTTATAGTATATAATACACTGTCCCGGGGACCAATTTATAGTATATAATACACTGTCCCGGGACCAATTTATAGTATATAATACACTGTCCCGGGGACCAATTTATTGTATATAATACACTGTCCCGGGGACCAATTTATTGTATATAATATACTGTCCCGGGGACCAATTTATAGTATATAAAACACTGTCCGGGGACCAATTTATAGTATATAATACACTGTCCCGGGGACCAATTTATAGTATATAATACACTGTCCCAGGGACCAATTTATAGTATATAATACACTGTCCCGGGGACCAATTTATAGTATATAATACACTGTCCCGGGGACCAATTTATAGTATATAATACACTGTCCCGGGGACCAATTTATAGTATATAATACACTGTCCCGGGGACCAATTTATAGTATATAATACACTGTCCCGGGGACCAATTTATAGTATATAATACACTGTCCCGGGGACCAATTTATAGTATATAATACACTGTCCCGGGGACCAATTTATAGTATATAATACACTGTCCCGGGGACCAATTTATAGTATATAATACACTGTCCCGGGGACCAATTTATAGTATATAATACACTGTCCCGGGGACCAATTTATAGTATATAATACACTGTCCCGGGGACCAATTTATAGTATATAATACACTGTCCCGGGGACCAATTTATAGTATATAATACACTGTCCCGGGGACCAATTTATAGTATATAATACACTGTCCCGGGGACCAATTTATAGTATATAATACACTGTCCCGGGGACCAATTTATAGTATATAATACACTGTCCCGGGGACCAATTTATAGTATATAATACACTGTCCCGGGGACCAATTTATTGTATATAATACACTGTCCCGGGGACCAATTTATAGTATATAATACACTGTCCCGGGGACCAATTTATTGTAACGAACCCACTGGACTGGAGGACTATTTTCAGTAAATAACACATTTGACTAAGGAACTACATATTCATACACTAACATAGTTAACTCGATATGGTATATAAACAGTGTAGTGTATGCCGTTACATGGTTAACTTATATGAGTGTTAGCTAGGGTATTGATCGCTACATTGTAGCTTAATTGGCGTGATTAACCATAGTTTACTAAGAAGAGTGTTAGGCTACAATGTATGCATAATTAACTAATTTGAATGCTATGTTATGTAGTTTAAGTTAGATGGGGGATTAGGGTATTTATAGTTAACTAAGATAATATTTTATGCTTTTGGTTGTTACTTAAGATAATGTTTTGGCTATTGATCGTACATTAACCTTATTGTTCAGGTAATACTCGTGACCTTATATTGTTAACTGAGGCGATGTTTTACTTTGTAACTAAGGTCAGGTTAAGTCTATTTATAGTTCAAATAATGGGAGTTAAGACATTTTGGCTAATTAAGATAAAAATAATTCTATTTATCGTTAGCAAATTTGAATATTATGGCATTTAACTTAGAAAGATAATATAGGATCAATATCGTTATCAGTTTCTGATTCGCGCATTGTCGTATTCAAAACTTTAGATACCTTGTCTTGCATTCTCTGTTTTCGCATAGCCAAGCGCCAGACACTATACAACACTCATAGCCAAGCGCTAGACACTATACAACACTCATACCATTCAGCAATTTACTATAATTTGAAACAGTGCTTTCTTTATAATTGACTATATCCATATAACAATGTCGAATACGGATGTAGCCCCAATGTGGTACATATGTAACCATGGTTCGCGCCCTGCTCACCAGTATACGTACCTGAGGTTGCCGCTGGGGTAGTAGTGAGTGTGATAGCTACAAGTAAATAGCCGTAAAAGTTTAAAACAAAGAACATCATTAAAATATATATCAAAGCTAAAACTGATATCAGTTTTGTGATAAGTCAGAAAACCAAATGTTTAGGTTATTATAATACAAATTTAATGACCGGTCAAGGGAGGACTAGTCAGCAAATACAATATTATATCATCTCGTATTATAATCATCATAAACACATATAAGAGTAATGTAAAATAAAACAAGACAGCGTATACCGATATATAATACGTATCACAGTATGACGGAGTGGGGAAAACAGAAGATACATGTATCACAGTATGACGGAGTGGGGAAAACAGAAGATACACGTATTACCGTATGACGGAGTGGGGGAAACAGAAGATACATGTATCACCGTAAGAGGTAGTGGGAGAGACCGAAGATCGAGTTTCACAGTATTAGGTCGTGGGAGAGACAGAAGATACACGTATTACAGTATGAGGTAGTGGGGAAGACACAAGATACACGTGTTAATGTACCGTATGACGGAGTGTGGAAAACAGAAGATACATGTATCACAGTATGAGGTAGTGGGAGAGACAGAAGATACACGTATAACAGTATGAGGTAGTGGGGAAGACACAAGATACATGTATAACAGTGTAAGGTAGTGGGAGAGACAAAAGATACAAGTTTCACAGTATGAGGTAGTGGGAGATATAGAAGATACACGTATTACAGTATGAGATAGTGGGGAAGACACAAGATACACGTATCACAGTATGACGGAGTGGGGAAATCAGAAGATACACGTATCACAGTATGAGGTAGTGGGAGAGACAGAAGATACACGTATTACAGTATGAGGTAGCGGGGAAGACACAAGATACACGTATCACAGTATTAGGTAGTGGGGGAGGTATAATATACATTTATCACAGTATGAGGAAGTGGGAGAGACAGATGAAACACGTATTACAGTATGAGATAGGGGGGAAGACACAAGATACACGCATCACAGTATGACGGAGCGGGGAAATCAGAAGATACACGTATAACAGTATGTGGTAGGGGGAGAGACAAAAGATACATGTATAACAGGGTAAGGTAGTGGGAGAGATAGAAGATACATGTATCACCGTAAGAGGTAGTGGGAGATATAGAAGATACACGTATAACAGTATGTGGTAGTGGGAGAGACAAAAGATACATGTATAACAGTGTAAGGTAGTGGGAGAGACAGAAGATACAAGTTTCACAGTATTAGGTTGTGGATGAGACAGAAGATACACGTATTACAGTATGAGGTAGTGGGGAAGACACAAGATACACGTATCACAGTATTAGGTAGTGGGGGAGATATAATATACATGTATCACAGTATGAGGTGGTTGGAGGAGATATAATATACATGTATCACAGTATGAGGTAGTTGGGGGGGATATAATATACATGTATCACAGTATAAGGCAATGGGGGAGATATAATATACATGTATCACAACATGAGGTAGTTGGGGAGATATAATATACATGTATCACAGTATGAGGTAGTTGGAGGAGATCTAATATACATGTATCACAGTATAAGGTAGTGGGGGAGATATAATATACACGTATCACATTATGAGGTAATGGGGGAGATATAATATACATGTATCACAACATGAGGTAGTTGGGGAGATATAATCTACACGTATCACAGTATGAGGCAATGGGGGAGATATAATATACATCTATCACAGTATGAGGTAGTGGGGGAGATATAATATACATGTATCACAACATGAGGTAGTTGGGGAGATATAATCTACACCTATCACAGTATGAGGCAATGGGGGAGATATAATATACATCTATCACAGTATGAGGTAGTGGGGGAGATATAATATACATGTATCACAGTATGAAGTAGTGGGGCAGATATAATATACACGTATCACAGTATGAGGCAATGAGGGAGATATACTATACACGTATCACAGTATGAGGTAATGGGGGAGATATAATATACATGTATTACAGTATGAGGTAGTGGGGGAGATATAATATACATGTATTACAGTATGAGGTAGTGGGGGAGATATAATATACACGTATCACAGTATGAGGCAATGGGGGAGATATAATATACATCTATCACATTATGAGGCAATGGGGGAGATATAATATACATGTATCACAGTATAAGGTAGTGGGGGAGATATAATATACATGTATCACAGTATGATGTAGTGGGGGAGATATAATATACACGTATCACAGTATGAGGCAATGGGGGAGATAAAATATACATCTATCACAGTATGAGGCAATGGGGGAGATATAATATACACGTATCACAAAAAGAGGCAATGGGGGAGATATAATATACATCTAACACAGTATGAGGCAATGGGGGAGATAAATATACATGTATTACAGTATGAGGTAGTGGAGGAGATATAATATACATGTATCACAATATGAAGTAGTGGAGGAGATATACTATACATGTATCACAACATGAGGTGGTGGGGGATATATAATATACATGCATCACAACATGAGGTGGTGGGGGAAATATAATATACATGTATCACAACATGAGGTTGTGGGGGATATATAATATACATGTATCACAACATGAGGTGTTGGGGGAGATATAATATACATGTATCACACTATGAGGTAGTGGGGGATATATATTACACATGTATCACAACATGAGGTGGTGGGGGATATATAATATACATGTATCACAACATGAGGGGGTGGGGGATATATAATATACATGTATCACAACATGTGGTGGTGGGGGAGGTATAATATACATGTATCACACTATGAGGTAGTGGGGGATATATATTACACATGTATCACAACATGAGGTGGTGGGGGATATATAATATACATGCATCACAACATGAAGTAGTCGGGGAGGTATGATATACATGTATCACACTATGAGGTAGTGGGGGATATATATTACACATGTATCACAACATGAGGTGGTGGGGGAGGTATAATATACATGTATCACAACATGAGGTAGCTGGAGGAGATATAATATACATGTATCACAGCATGAGGTGGTTGGGGAGATGTAATATACATGTATCACAACATGAGGTGGTGGGGGAGGTATAATATACATGTATCACAGTATGAGGTAGTGGGGGAGAAATAATATACATGTATCACAACATGAAGTAGTGGAGGAGAAATAATATACATGTATCACAACATGAGGTGGGGGGGGATATATAATATACATGTATCACAACATGTGGTGGTGGGGGAGGTATAATATACATGTATCACAACATGAGGTAGTTGGAGGAGATATAATATACATGTATCACCGTATGAGGTAGTTGGAGGAGATATAATATACAATATAATATACATGTATCACAGTATAAGGTAATGGGGGAGATATAATATACATGTATCACAGTATGATGTGGTGGGGGAGATGTAATATACATGTATCACAACATGAGGTGGGGGGGGATATATAATATACATGTATCACAACATGATGTGGTGGGGGAGATATAATATACATGTATCACAGTATGAGGTATAATATACATGTATCACAGTATAAGGTAATGGGGGAGATATAATATACATGTATTACAGTATGAGTTAATGGGGAGATATAATATACATGCATCACAACATGAGGTGGTGGGGGAAATATAATATACATGTATCACAACATGAGGCAGTGGGGGAGATAAATATACATGTATCACAACATGAAGTAGTCGGGGAGGTATGATATACATGTATCACACTATGAGGTAGTGGGGGATATGTAATATACATGTATCACAGTATGAGGCAATGGGGGAGATAAAATATACATCTATCACAGTATGAGGCAATGGGGAGATATAATATACACGTATCACAGAAAGAGGCAATGGGGGAGATATAATATACATCTAACACAGGATGAGGCAATGGGGGAGATAAATATACATGTATCACAACATGCAGTAGTGGAGGAGATATAATATACATGTATCACAGTATAAGGTAATGGGGGAGATATAATATACATGTATCACAATATGAGGTAGTGGGGGATATATACTATACATGTATCACAACATGAGGTGGTGGGGGATATATAATATACATGTATCACAACATGAAGTAGTCGGGGAGGTATAATATACATGTATCACACTATGAGGTAGTGGGGGATATATATTATACATGTATCACAACATGAGGTGGTGGGGGAGATGTAATATACATGTATCACAGTATGAGATAGTGGGGAAGACACAAGATACACGTATCACAGTATTAGGTAGTGGGGGAGATATAATACACATGTATCACACTATGAGGTAGCGGGGGATATATATTATACATGTATCACAACATGAGGAGGTGGGGAAGATATAATATACACGTATCACACTATAAGGTAGTGGGGGAGATATAATTTACATGTATCACAATATGAGGTAGTGGGGGAGATAAAATATACATGTATCACAGTATGAGGTGGTGGGGAGATATACTATACATGTACACGTGTTAATGTACCGTATGACGGAGCGTGGAAAACAGCAGATACATGTATCACAGTATGAGGGAAGATATTATATACACGTATCACACTATGAGGTAGTGGGGGAGACATAATATACATGTATCACACTATCAGGTAGTGGGGGATATATATTACACATGTATCACAACATGAGGTTTTGGGGAAGATATAATATACACGTATCACACTATAAGGTAGTGGGGGAGATATAATATTCATGTATCACAACATGAGGTGGTGGGGGAGGTATAATATGTGGTGGGGGATATATAATATAAATGTATCACAACATGAGGTGGTGGGGAAGATATAATATACACGTATCACAGTATGAGGCAATGGGGGAGATAAAATATACATGTATCACAGTATGAGGTGGTTGGGGAGATGTAATATACATGTATCACACTATTAGGTAGTGGGGGAGATATAATACACATGTATCACACTATGAGGTAGTGGGGGAGATAGGTGGGGGA